AGTTCAATGATAATTCTTCTGCTGTCACTTAAAAACAATTTGATGTATGTAAGTCCTTACTCTCTGTACAAACAATTATTTTTATTTTGTGGATGTATTTTGCTGGATTTCACAATTAATTTTGATTATTCCAAAATTTATTTCCAAATTAAAGAAATTAATTTGTCACAAAAAATCACTTAAAAATTATCAAAAACAATCACAGTAATGAAAACTTGGGCATCCAGAATTTCAGGATTGCAGGTCCAGATCCAGAAGTTGTCCTGAATAAAGTTGAGAACACAGACAATTTTATTTTGAAACATTGAAATTTGAGAACAGTAAATTTTTCCATTTGGACATGAACTATTGAAAGTTAGAGAGTTGTGTCCCTTTATTTGTTTTTATCAGTAAAAGCCAATATGGCAGAATTTTAAAACAATCACAGTAAACTTGGGAATCCAAAATTTCAGGATTGCAGGTCCAGATACGGCCCAGAATGCTTTTAATTTGCTTATGGAATCAGCCTGATTCTAAAATGGTATGATATATTGGGCTGTGGCTTCTAGGTGTAAAGTTGAAAAAGAGTGACACACATATATTCTTATTTATTTATACAGATTATTCTCTGTGGGACATGTGTGTATATCTATATATACAGTGGTTGGATAAAATAATTGGAACCGTTACAAAATCCACTCTTATATATCAAAGACCTATTATATTAAGAACTTTAACTAAAACTTTGTAATTACAGGTTATATCTATTGTAAATACATTTATTCATCTAATTTACTGCCTTTGTCTTATTTATTTATAGAATTTAGTAAAATTTAAGCTAAATGCATGACCTCTCCAAGTTCAAAGAAGAGCCTCGATCACTAAGGTTGCTGAACTGTTTGGTTTTTCAAGAGCTACCATATCAAGAACAATGATGCAATTCGAGAAACAGGGCAAGACTTCTACAACCTTCAAAATGCGGTCCGGACTTGCAAACTTACTAACAGGAACTGACATGCATTGAAATGCAATGTGGCAAAAAATCATCAGACAAATGCAGCCAAAGTGACTGCTGAGTTGAATAACCATCTGAATAGTTCAGTTTCTACAAAAACTGTTCACCATGAGCTCCATAAGGCTGCATATCATGGAAGAGCTGCTGTGAGGAAACCTCTTCTCTCCACTCAAAGCATTCCAGAAGTTTAAGTGGTGCCGAGATCACAATGCCTGGTCTGCAGATCAATGGAAGCAAGTCATATTCTCCAGTTTTTCTCTTTTCCCAACTTCAGGGTGAGTTTGTGTGGAGGCAGCCCAAAGAAGCTTGCAACCCTGACTGCCTCTTTCCAACAGTGAAGCATGGAGGTAGATCAGTGACAGTTTGGGCCGCCATATCATGGAAATGTCTCAGTCCAATAGTTGCCCTGCATGGTAGAATCAACAGCAAAGATTACCTGAACATTTTGAGAGATCATGTTCATCCAATGTCCAAGACTTTTGATGGTGATTACATCTTCCAAGATGATAATACTCCAATACATACTGCTCAAGTGGTTAAGAATTGGTATGAAGAGCATGAAAGTGAGCTAGAACACATGGAGTGGCCTCCCCAATCTCAAGATATCAATATTATTGAATATTTGTGGTGCATTTTGGAGCAACAAGTTAAGAGCTGCTATCCTCCACCATTTTGTTGTAAAGATCTGGAGAAGGTTTTAATGGAAGAATGACTGAAAATTCTTCTGGATGAAGTCAGGAAGCTGTATGATTCCATTCCTAGATGTATTAAAACTGTCTGTGAGGCTAAAGGAGGACCAACTCCATATTAAATAAATTTTCTTTGAATTTAACAAGTGTTTCAATTATTTTGTCCAACCCTTGTATATAACTTTGTGTATGTTTTAGAAGAAATTTGATTTTGGCCTAATATTTTGTCAGGAGTAGGGTTGTTTCGAGTTTGTAGAGGGACCCCAGTGTAAACTGTATTTTCCAAGTAAATCTAAATCCTTGTTTAATCCTTTAATACTAGATTCTCTTGTTTTGTTTTAATGATATATATATATATATATATATATATATATATATATATATATATTTTGCCCTTCTGATGAGGCCATGGGAAACTGTCCTGATAAGGCAAGGGCTAATTGCCTACTTAAGGAATGCACATCTCTTTCTGGTTCTTTTCATCTCTGACTCCTGACAAGAATCTAATCTGTATTCCTTCTTCCTGTTGAACCTCTATTCCCATCAGGGAAACCATTCTTTTATCCAAAGAATGCCCAAACTGTTTTGGTTATCGAAGAATGTCATGAAAAGTCAAATCTCAATTATCTACTTAATGAATGCGCATATTTTGCTGAGATTTTTTCTTCTCCCCTTAATTTCATACGTGAAATGTAAACAAAGTAATTTGAAATGGAATTTGTTTTTATCTGTACTTATTTTATATTACAGTGAACGTTATTTTTAGTGGATAGATATGTTGTATTGACATCCCTGTTAACTATACATCAAAATTAAT